AAGTGAAGTACCTGCAAGAGTGACTGTCAATTTCAACCACACTACACCTTTCTCTTTTGTGGCAAGGTATCATCTGTACCATAACAACAATATAAACTGCTAAGAGATTACTCAGGAAACAAAGAAGAATTTAATCTATGCTTTAAAATAAATTCCATAATTGTGAAAATGATCAAGAAATACAAAGGGAAGAGATCAAAGTATATATATACTTTATATATTTTTTATATATATAAAGTATATATATAGATATATAGATATCTGTATATTTCAGCTAAAACCTTTTACCACTGACACAAATCAATTTAGCTAAAAATCTCAGAAAACCACTAATTTTGAAAGTTCACAGTACAGAAAAGGAATGTGTTTAAGACAAGGAGACAAGAATATAGTATCAAGTCATTAGGCTATTTAATTACAGCAATGGACAAATCAAACCAAACTGCAGCATTTTATCTATATAAAGTATAACAGCTGTGAGATAGATATCCAGCATATTATGGGAAACAATTTAAGATAATATGCAGAATGATACAGTACAAGTGTAAGAAAGCAAAAGAACAAATTTGGGATAGAGCAAAAAAACCTGGTAAATTGTTCTATATATTGTCCAGATATACAGAAATAGATTCAAATTTACAGAACCTATTTTCAGAATATAAAACATACTAAAAAAAACCCTCTCTATCAGACAGTTCTTTCAAGTCAGTTAAGAAAATAAAAATTCATAATGGCTAAACAGTTGATTGACATGCAAAGGAAATACAGAATACCATTGGTAAGCAAATCATTTCAGAAAAAATACACTGTCAAGCATCCTTATTATAATCCTACCAAACTAACTATACATAGAAGGTTCTGGTTTTGGATAGGGCTTGCCAAATGTATTCACAGCTGAAATAATATTTAAATCATTTATACTGAAAGAAAATAAAACAATAAAACACAAAAAGCAACTAAAGAAACAAATTAAGAAACAGAACAAATCGTTCTATTAAAATATTTGCTATCCAAAAACAAACTCTGGCATAGAAAAAAAAATCTTGGGACTTTCTAGAGAGGCCAGACAAAGGCAAGCACCACTGATAAACCGTCCACTGTGGATGTAGGAATTTTTTAGAAATTAATAATAATACATCAAACCCATGAAAAAGGCGTTTTCAAGTTAAGCTTGATTCCAGGAATTTTCTTAGAGACAATATTGTTAATACTGTTGGCAACAATATTGAAATTGTTTGACACTTTCTTTTTTTGGCACAAGGGAGGAAACATATTGAAGCTCCCAAATAGGATGAGGAAGGGGGTGGTATTCCGAAATTTGAAAACAGTTTGAAGCAATACAGTTGTCATCAATTATACCTTTCAAGCAATATTCAAAGGCAGTCCCATACACAATATACTACAGGCAGTCTTCAACTTGGAGCCACAAATTGAGCCCAAAATGTCTGTTGCTAAGCATGACATTTCTGTTGTTAAGCATTTTGGTCCATTTTACAACCTTTCTTACCACAGTTGTTAAGTGAATCACTATGGCTGTTAACTTAGCACCATGGTTGTTAAGTGAATCTGGCTTCAACCAGAACCTTGACTTTGGTTGTCAGGTCGTCACAATAGGTGATCACATGACCACTGGACACTACAACCATATATACATGCCAGTTGCCAAGCATCCGAATTTTGATCACAGGACCACTGAGATACAGCAACCACTGTGTGAAAACTGGTTCTAAGTCATTTTTTTCAGTGCATTTAACTTCTAATGGTCACCAAACCAATGATTATAAGTCAAAGACTCCCTGAATAGTGCCCCATAAACTGACATTTATGTTAACTACTATGCAACATAACTTTTTCAGGTATTTTCTGTAACAAATTAAGAAAATGTATTTATATTTACATATTAAGTAATCCTGAATAGAATTTTGAGTATGCACACACACAGTCATACCACAAGACATTTATACAAATAAACTAGAGAAAAAAAGGACTAAGGGAGACATGATAGCAGTATTCCAGTATTTGAGGGACTGCCACAAAGAAGAGGGGGGTCAACTTATTTTCTAAAGCACCAGAAGGCAAGATAATGGATGGAAACTAATCAAGGAGAGAAGCAACCTGGAATTAAGGAGAAACTTCCTAACAGTGAGGACAATTAACCAGTGGAACAGCCTGCCTTCAGAAGTTGAGGGTGCTTCATCACTGGAGGTTTTTAAGACGACACTGGAGGGCCACTTGCTCAAATTGTATAGGGTCTCTTGTTTGATCAAGGGGTTGGACTAGAAGACCTCCAAGGTCCCTTCCAGCTCTATTATGATTTCAGCTTTGCAATACAAAAACTAATAAGACAAGATCATAAATGTGTTTTCCAACAGAATGTTAACAGGACTGTGAAATAATAATCATTACAATGAAAGAGCAGAAAAATATGAAGTTTAAAACTGTAAAAGTCAGAGAACCTATATATTTCTGTTAGTTATTTTAACTGCAGTCTGGGTTTCTTTCAAGACTGAGGCAGATGGACATAATTTCAAATTGTAGAACATCTGCCTCTGATTCCAAAAGTATCTTATTAGAAGCTTACTTCATTTGAAGTATATTATCATATGTAGAGAAAGCCAAAATAGTTAAATCATTTTGTCTAAATGAAGGTCAGAAAACTTGTATGATTTAAATTGTATTAATCCTAATCCTAACATACTATTAGAATAAACAATTAAAAAATCTGGCATAAACCAGATGCATCTGGATGCATTGTTTTAAACTTTTTTTAATGAAACTTTTATTCTAGAAGCAATTAGTAATTTGGTATACTTATCAGATAGACTATGTTCCACTACCAAGTTTGTAGTAAACTTACCAGTTTTTATTCATTATTGGACTATATGATACCTTAACCAACCTGATGGACTCCAGATACATCCAGTATGATTTGAAAGGCTCTTCTTAAACAAGAATTCACCATTCAGTATCTATCCTGTTGTCACAGAGTATGAACATTCATTTTTAATCTTTTAATTTAAAAGTCACCAATTGTTACATAAGATGTACAACGCACATATAAAAGTTAAGACTTTGTTGCTATGTATGCATCAACTTTAACAAAGATTCCTATTTCCTACCCATATTTTATGACACATATCACTTTGAAATCCAGGGCACTCATAAATAAAGTGTGAGCAGACATTATTTTCCACTGAAAAGACTGAGCACATCTACTTTCAACAGCAGAAAAGTAGCAAGTATAGTAGAAGTGTGACATTTCCACAAATGCTTGACTATGTATCATTTATTACAGAATATTTTACATCAACTTTTTCCAATCTGACAGCTCACGCTTAACTATGGCATCTGTCACAAGCTAACAAGAGCATTGCCATGCTGCCTATTAATGATGGAAGATATTGTCCAACATATTGGAAGACACAGAACTGTGAATTTAATTTAGCCTTTTCTGAACACTGTGTAACATCTTCACTATTAAACAAATATACATTCAATATTCACTATTTCTCAATATTTTCCCTTGACCTGCTAAAATACTTAGGACAAATTCCTTAGCATCAAATGCATCTATCTGCGTATATCTAAATCCTTTATCTTTGGTTTAGCTATTACATTCAATATTTTAGTAAAATATACAGCTTGACTACTGCAGCACATCTGAATTCAGTGCTAACACGTTAGGTAAACCACGTAAGACATATTGTGTTCAAACTAATCAGAACTAAAATCAATGTATTAACTAAATAATATCTATATTGCATGTTTCAGTATGTACATGAACTGTTACATTTACTTCATATAATATGCATTTAAAGGAAGAATTTAATATTTTGTTAACTACCTTAAGTCAAAGACTCAAATTATATCTATCACACTTTTACAAAGTAAAGGCTTCATAAAGTATATTATCAAAAAGCTAAATAATCATCACATTATTAAAGTTATTAAAAGGTCTGCTCCTGTTTCTATTTCACTATCTGACAAAATACTTTTTCTCCCTGTAACTAAGGTACTTTTAAACGTATTACATTCATATTTGAAGCTTTTTCTCTGAAAGGCTCAAGCAGCATATACAGCACTCCCTTCTCCGATAATTTCACAATGCTATGAAGTACATTGTAGGACGAGAACTACTACTAAGTTTGGTGATTGAATGGCTATTTAACCTGGGTCTTTAACAACACATGCCAAGTTCAAACAGTAAAACACCTAGTTCTGACAGATACATGTACTTAAAGGACTATTCCATCCTCTGAAAATTATTCCTTATCAAATCTAACACTTTGCACAAGGGAAAACAAACACACAAATCCAGGCTTTTTTGACAAGTAGAAAAGGTGTTCACAGATCAACTCTCTCTTTAATTTGAAAGATATTCCTCTTGCGGCTTCAACATTCACAGAGCACTAGACTAAGTACAATTTTAGCTAATCTTTTTTTAAAAAAAAATTTAAAAAACCGTGAGTTCCATCATTGCCCTCAGAAGCATAATCCAACATTTATTTTAGAGGATACCTGCCTTCACAAAGCTCAAAGAGCATCTGCGCTGTTTTAGGGAAATGAGATCAAAACTTTGCAAAGTACTCCCCACCTTTAAAATAAAATAAAAACAAAACAAAAGCAAATCCGACCCATCCTTTAAGCTTTTAGAATCCCGCGTAATGTGCCCGGCTGAGCTAAACGGTAACAACTTTGCCACCGCAAAATCAAGATTTTGCCTCCTATTTCTGAGGTAAATCACTTCCATTCGGAAACGACAAGGGAGTAGGACCCTGTATCAACGGGAGGAGGGGGGAAATAAACCGGCGAGGAAACGCCTTGTTGACAACCACGGTGTGCCTGAGTTTGCTACACCACCCGGCCGACCCCTTTACTAGGGATGAGCAAAGAGCCGGAAGACCCGTCCCCCTTGTGCCTCCTTCTCACCCACCCACCCGCCCACCACCCCCAGCAGTGCTGACAAACGGCGCTCCCCTCCCTCCTCTTCGGCGCGTTACCTTGCGGACCCCCTTGTAAATGTAGAAGTAAAGCTCCCGGCCCACATTGAAGCAGAGCCGGTCCCCATTGCCACTCTGGTCGTTGACGTTGACGAAGGAGACGCGAACGGGATTGGAGCCCTGCGAATTGAAAGGCACCCGGTTGGGCCGGCTGTACTCCGAGTGGCTCAGGAGCTTGTAGAGCCCCTCGCGGGTGGTAAACTGGGTCTTAATCTCGTTCATCTCCTTCCCTCCTCCCTCCGCCGCCATCTTGGAAAGGAGCATTCATCGTCTTCCAGTACCCGGATGAAAGGCCAGCGCGCAGACGCAGCGAAGAGGGAAACTGTTTCTCCCGTCTGAAAGCGCATGAAGGGAAGCTGGCGAAACGTTCGTGCCATGAAGTAGGAGGGGCGAAGCCTTTTCCCTGTTTACCGCGATGCTGCGCATGCGTCAGTTCGGCCTGGTGCAACGGGATGAGGTGGAAAAGATGAAAAGCGGCGAGTTTTCAGAATGAAGGAAGCGATGGAAAGATTAAGAGAGAGGAGCTTTCGGAGTGAGCATGCGCCGAACCGGGAAACTACTTCCCGGTGCTTTTTGCGTTGCAATTTTGTATTTGGTAGAGGAAAAGTTGCAGCAAACGCTCCGTAGGTACTTCTGTACGAAAATAATGCAGATTAACTGCGGGTGTGTATTTGGAAAATATATTGCACACCTTTTTCGTTGCTGAATTCGTACTATATTCTTCATTTGTATTACTGCGATTGTATAACAGCTGTTAAATCCAGTGATTCAACTTTTGGTTACTCACTCAATCTTCACAGATAAATAACATACCTTTGTTGCTTCTTGCCACCTAAGAACGGGGAGGATTTTCTGTATAAATATATTTATGAATACAATGGAAAGTTACCACACCCCTGTTAAAATGTCAGTGTTTTGTAAATGTAAAAAAAAAAAAAAAAGATTAAGATCTTTGGAATTTTTTCCATACTTAGTATACACATAAGGTGTACAATTCAATTGAAAAACAAATCTTTTAGGGGGAAAATAAATTAGAATGTGGCTGCATAAGTGTTCATAGCCTCTTAAAAGTAGGAATGTGGCTGTGTTCAGAATTAATCATGTTCAAACTGATGTTAAGTAATACCTGTCATCAATTAAAGTGACACTGATCAAGCCCATATAAAGTTCAGCTCAGGGGTGGGTTCTACTTACCTTTACTACTGGTTCGCAGCAGGGCTGCGGGTGTTTGCTTCGCCTGCGCGCAAGCGCAGAAGCTTTTTGATGACATCAGGATCGGTGGGCGGAGCCTCCCGCCGATTTTACTATTGGTTCTATAGAACCGGTGTGAACCGGGGGCAACCCACCATTGGTTCAGCTGTTGTAATATGATTTTTCTGACATTTACGCAATTGCCTTTTCCATCAAAAGCCATGGTCTAAAAACAGCTTACAAAGCATCAAAATGATCTTACTGTGAGAAAGTATCAGGAGAAGGATATAAAAATTTCCCAAGGCATTGGATATACCATGAAACCAGTGGTGGCATTCAAATTTAACAACCGGTTCACCCAGGGTCAGGTTGGCCATCATGGGAGGCGTGGCTCATCCGCAACCTCCAGCTCCACTGCACATGTGGGATGAACCTCCCGCGACAGCCAACCTGACCCTGGGTGAACTGGTTGTTAAATTACACACACACACACACACACACACACACACACGCTATTACAGTGGATCCTGGACACTGCTCTACAATGGAGAAATGGGAAATGGAGCGGCCGGCATGAGGGAAGGAGGAGGAGCAGGGAGAGGGAAAGTGGCCCCCTCCTACCCTCACACCAGCCGCTCCTTTGTCCGTTTCTCCATTGCAGTGCTGCGGCTCTTAGCCCATCCATTATCGCCTGGATGCCCTCGCTTCCCCCAAGAAAGGTGGTCAAAGAAAGAGGATTCCATCACGTGCTGAATGTCATAATTAAACTATGGCTTCCTAAGATGCCATCTGTGTCACTGGATAAAGCGAGGAGGACAACTCAAGGCAGCAAGCACCTCCAGCCCCAACAAAGTGAAAGAAGAAACGCGAGAGCAGCACCCGCCCATGTCTCGTCTGCCCTTGAACAGTGTGCTTCTCCTAAAGGCCTCTGGTTTGTCGTACCCACCCACTCTGCTTCTTCTGTCGCTTGCTCCCTCCCATGCCCGAATTCTTGGGGGAAGTGAGGGCATCTGGGCGGTGGTGGAAGGAGGAGAGAGAGAGAGAGAGAGGCCCGCGGGGTCATCAGCACCTTTCCTCAGCAGCGTCACAAACAATGGGGGATGGCAGAGCGGTTCCCAGCCTGCATGGTGGACTATGGCACTGGGTGAGCCACACAAGGAGAGAGAGAGAGAAAGAAAGAAAGAGTGAGGGATGAATGGGCCACTGCGTGTGTTGCTGACAGTTGGCTTCCAGCACCAGAGAAGGCGGGGAAGAGAAGCAGCCGGGGTGCCACTGCCTTTCATTGGGGTGCGTGGAGCGAGACGGGGCTCCTCTTGCTGTCTCTTCTTTCCCCCTCACCGAGCATGGCAGGGCTTCCTGCCCCTCACTTCAGCCGGTTTGCCGAACTCCAGAAAAATTTAGCTACCGATTCTACTGAACCAATGCAAACCGGCTGAATCCTACCACTATATGCAACACAATTATTATCAACAGACTGTCACTTTGACAAATATGGCACAACAGTGATATTACCAAGAATTAGATGCCCCTTCAAAATTGAAGAAAAAATTAGAAGAAAACTGGTTCAAGAGGTTGCCAAGAGACTTACAGCAATGTTAAAGAAGCTGTAGGAATTTCTAGCAAATACCGGTTGTGTATTACATTGGCAACAATCTCCTGTATTTTTCATATATCTGGGGTAGGGTGGCAAAATGGAAATTTTTCTTACAAGGAAAAATGTCCACCCTAACCCTAAACCTTAATGTAAAAACTACATCAAGTCTGACCAAAGCATGTGGAAAAATGTGTTATGCTTTGATGAGACCCAAGATTGGTCATAAGTCCAAAAAGTATGTTTGGTGCAAAAACAATACTGCACATCACCAAAAGTGCATCATACCCATACCCAGGGGTGAAATGCTACCGGTTCGGGCTGGTTCACCTGAACCGGTAGTAAAAAATGCTACTGGTTTGCTGAACCAGTAGTAAAAAAATGTAAAAAACAAGTTCCAATGATCAGCTGAGCAACGCACAATCGTGGGAACTTTTTTTTTTTACTTTTTAAGCATTTTTAAAATGCTTTAAGCAGTTAAAAATGCTTTAAAAAGTAAAAAAAAAACAAAAACCGCACATCGCTCAGCTGATCGTTGGAACTTTTTTTTTAACTTTTTAAGCATTTTTTTACTACCGGTTCAGGCAAATAGGTAGTAAAGAAATGCTTTTAAAAAGTAAAAAAAAAAAGAGGTTCCAACGTTAGCGTGGCATAGCTGTGATCGTCGGAATCCTTTTTTTTCCTTTTTTAAAAGCATTTTTTACTACCTATTCGCCTGAACCAGTAGTAAAAAATGCTTTTAAAAAGTTTTTAAAAAGGTTCCCAAGATCGCACGCCACAGCTGATTCTGCCCCTCCCCAGCTCTTCTACTTACCTACCCAAGCCTCCTTTTGGTGTATAGTGCGCATGCATGTGCAGCGCACATTTGGTGCAAAACATGCATGCGCAAGCGCAGTGCGCGCTTGGCACACAGCGCGCATGTGCAGCCAGCAAACGGGTAGCATACCGGTTCAGATTTCACCACTGCCCATACATGCATGGTGGTGGCAGCATTAGGCTTTAGGGCTGCTTTTTTTCAGCTGGAACTGTGGCTTTAATCAAGATGCAGGGAATTATGAACAATTCCAAAAACCAGTCACTTTTGGCACAAAATCTTCAGGCCTCTGCTAAAATGCTGAAGAGGAAGAGGAATTTCACGTTTCAACACAATAACAACCCAAAACATACTCCCCATGTCAAGGAAAGAATGGCTTTACCAGAAGATCAAAGTTTTGGAATGGACCAGCTAGAGCCTGGGCTGAAACCATTTGAAAATCTGTGAGGTGAACTGAAGAAGTCTGTGCACAGGAGATGCCCTCACAATCGGGCTGATTTAGAGCACTTTTTCAAATAAAAGCGGTCAAAGATTCCCAAGGCAAGATGTGCCATGCTGATAGGTTCTTACCCCAAAAGAGTGAATGCTGTTATAAAAATCAATGAACTATTAGTTTATCCTTATGCAAAGGGATGTGGTGGCTCAGTGACTAAGACGCTGAGCTTGTCGATCAAAAGGTCGACAGTTCAGCAGTTCAAATCCCTAGTGCTGCGTAACAGGGTGAGCTCCCGTTACTTGTCCCAGCTTCTGCCAAACTAGCAGTTCGAAAGCACGTAAAAAATGCAAGTAGAAAAATAGGGACCACCTTTGGTGGGAAGGTAACAGCGTTCTGTGCGCCTTTGGATTTGAGTCATGCCAGCCACATGACCATAGAGACGTCTTCAGACAGTGCTGGCTCTTCAGCTTTAAAACTGAGATGTGCACCGCCCCCTAGAGCCAGAAACAACTAGCACATATGTGTGAAGGGAATCTTTATTTTTACCTTTATCCTTTTGCAACCATATTATTGTAAGATTTTTTTTATTATTTCCCCCCTAAAAGTTTTCAGTTTGTTTTTCAATTGAACTGTACAGCTTATACTGTATGTTATATTAAAGGTAGAAAGAATGCTGAAATGATTTATCTTGGTCAGATTTTTTTTACCTCTCAAGAATCAGGCAATTTAAGGGGGGTATGTAGACTTTCCTTATTTATTCTACCTTGCAACAATTCCTTTTAGCTATTTTCCAGATACACATTTGCATTAAAATTGTATCTTAAAGACTTGGAAAATTATTACAGTATGGCATAAGACAGCCAACTTCATTAAATGCAGAGAGAGATATAAGCAAGTGAGTGTATATAAGGGCTGCCATATCTGAACTGAAAAAAATATTAAGCAATCACCAGATGAAAACAAAGGATAAAGAACTGTTTGTATCTGCTTCCATGTGGTGATTATTTGTATTTTTCTGGATTTGCAGTCCACATATGGTAGTCATGTACATACAGTATATAATGCCTGAGATTTTAGAAATGGGTACAGACTTTAGTACAGTACTGCACTTTGCAATCAGATACATCTGATCTCCATAATATTTTGCATGTTACATCCTAAGCTACAGAACTAGATATGTAAATATACTCAGGTTGTATGTTGCTAATTCATTTAAGAATGCAAATACTGTGATGTCAAAAAGTCTTCCCCAACAGTAATAAGGAACTATGTAACAAACTACTTTCCAAAAAATTGGAAAAACCATTAGTGGGTCTTCCTTTCCTAGAGCCTCCAAACCACAACAATAAAACAATCTCTCTCAATTCAGTTTCAATATCACTTATTTTTAGCATTGTGAAATGTTACCTTCAAGATCTGGTGTATAAACATAATATTCTGTTTGAACTTCCCCAAACAGCCCATTTATTGTGGTAGAAAAATGTCCCACTTACCTAACCATTTGCTATGCCTCCAT